AAGATTTCATTTCAAATTCTAACATTCAGTTTATTTATTTGTTTGTTTTTCATCCAGTAACTTGTGGTGCGTTACATTAGTATATTCATAAAAGACATATGTGAGTAGATAGCTTCATATGATTGAAATGAAATCCTCAGTGAAAACTATACTCTTATATTTAGTACTCATCTACTAAATGAATGGAAAGATGATTGAAAATACCAGATAGTGAACTTTTATTGGACATTGAAAAAAGTAAAGTAACTTTCACATTGTTCTTACCGAACATTTGCAGTCAGTCAGTCATCTATAACACAGGACCAGGCATATATATGTGTATGTCCAAGTTGCCATATCTCATTAGCACAACAAGATGGACGCCAAATTCATAGTAGTTACTTCAATGATAGTTACATACAAAAGAAAGATTGCATATAAGGATATAACACAGGAAGAAAGAGTTAGCTCGTAGAAACAAAGGTATGATGTAACTTTAATCTCACGGTTTCAGAGAAGACAAAGAGTGTATGCACTTACGCTTTTGTGACCGAGTCTGAGCCATGTCAGTCAGAGTCTCCAACTACTGGTTACGATAGTCGCACGGATCTCAACTAAGTAGTCTGTATCTACTAACATGACTCAGATCAGAAGTTAGTGATTTTATGGACTGGTATCACATATTGGTTTGGACACCCCTAACTTTCTTCCGTTAGTCTCCAACACTAGTCAGCGTTTCACACCGTGTTCATCGTTGGTTGAGCATGCGTGAAACGTGGCCCAGCCATGTCAGTCAATCTAGATTTACAGAACGACTGAAAGCTCTACACAGTTACATCAAGTAGATTGATTTATGTGTATGAAACCTAAACTCTTATCGTCCTTCTGAAAATTCAGTGTTTTTGGAAATTCTTTTTGTTTTCGTTTTGTTATCATTGTTATCGTTATCGTGACAAATCTGAAATGGTTAGAAGATTGTATGTTTACCTAACTACTGCTTACCTCAATGATCAGCGTTTATCAGTGTAGAAGTAGATTGAAAGAAAGTTAGGAACAATCAAACTAAGACTCAGTAACTGTTTTATCTAGTCTTTTAGGTAGATATATACTAAATATAGTGCTTTTTCTTTACTTTTAACGATAAATTTTGTAGGTACAACCATAAACATTCGATAAATAGTGATTAATTTAAGTGTTATTAAAGTATGTACTCGATATAGCTTAAGTGCACACCTTTTTTTTAGCTTCCAAATAAAGATATATCAAATTATCTCTGGCTATAATCATTTAGGAACTTGAATCTAAACTAATCATAACGTGATTACTAGAGCTTATTGCTAATCGAAATGTAATCACTGCATAATAATCATGGATTATACAGCAAACAAAGAAATACAAATCTACACTAAAAGCTTATTCATTCATATTCAGTCGTTAATTTTGTTATTTAGAAAGATGTGAATTATGTGAAAAGTACACAATATGATTAAGAATAAATATCTCCATGTGTGTCTTTACCTTAATATTGTTATTATTTATTAAGTACAATTTAATGAATAAATACAGCTTCTGTCTTCTACCAAAAAATTATGTTAATTTCAATGGTTAAGATCATGAGTCAGTTGAAGCTAGACCACCATGGAAAACCTGGAAGCACTGGACGGCTGTTTCGTCCTATTGTGGGACTCCTCAGCAGTGCGCATCCACGACTCCGCCCCCTGCGAGACTCGAACCCAGGGACTACTGGTTTCGCGCGCGAGCACTTAATCACTAGACCACTGAGCCGGCATCCAATGGTGTTAATGTCTAACTTCAACTAATCCACGAAATTGAGCGACACATCCACCATTTTCTTCAGTGAGTTACTATCTCACAACAGACCTGGTTGAACTCCACTGGTCACTACTTCTCACTAGGACTCCAGAATATACCTCTTGAAGCCAGTCACTAGTGAGCATATGTTGATTAATATCAGATGGGTTTTGTGGATATTATAGTAATTTCAATGGTTAATATCATGAGTCAGTTGAACATGTTAATCATTTTGTTTATTAAAAATAACAATATTAGTACAAATTGAGAAGTGTTTCTTTTTCCTAAGGATATCGAAGTTTATGTAAAATGATAAATAAACACATCAAACATATATATGCAGAGATAAATGATGTCTAGTAGTCTAATTCAGGATGCACGTCTCGTTCATAGTTTTAATATTAAATTATTCAAATGAGTTATCTGTTGAAATAAATCAGCGTAAGATATAACACACAGTGGATAAAGGTTCAAATTACTTGTTAATAAGCAGTTGCCATGGTGTGGCTGGTTGTATTCCATTTTTGTTTGTTAAAAATATTCTGACTAACCTAATATAATATAAGGTATATGAGTGAATAAACTGGTAGTGTAGACCTGATATTTGTTAACTTACTTATTTATACCTGTTACCCCTCATAGATGAGCATAGGTCGTTCATGAGCATTCTCCATCCAACTCCATCCTGGGCAAACCTTTCCAGTTGCTATTCATCCTTTTCATGTCTTTCCAATTTCCGACACAGTGTGTTCTTTGGCCTTCCCCTTTTCTGTTTACCTTCAGGATTTCAAGTTATCGCTTGCTTGTGATGTAGTTTGATGATTTCTTCAATATATATCCTTTCCACTTTCAGTGTCTTTTTCTAATTTCCTCTTCAGATGGAAGTTGATTTGTTCTTTCTCACAGTAGGCTGTTGTTGATGGTATCTGGTTTACAGATATTGAGTATCTTACGTAGAAAATTGTTTAGAAATACTTTTACTTTTTGATGATGATTGTGGTAGTTATCCAAGTTTCAGCTCCGTAGATGCACACTGCTTAGGAGTCCCATAGTAGGATGAAATGGTCGTCCAGTACTCCCAAGTTTTCTATGATGGTTTAGGTTAGATCGACACGTAATTTCCACTGTGAATATATATATATATATATATATATATATATATATATTTCTAAAACATTTATGTATATTGTATCTAGTTAATTGTATGGTTATATCCTGTATTCTCGCCCTAATGATAATCGTTTCAGTTCAGTCATTGCAATTTTGATATGAAAATTTTATTTTGTCTCCTAGAATTAGATCATTTGACAAATACTTCAGTAATATTAATAGTATTTTTAAATGATACAGGAAATTCAAATCTTGTCCTATATTCAAATTTGTTTATACTCAGTTATTTGCATTCAGGTTAGATTGAATGGTTATTTATTCAACTAGGAAATGTGATTAACTGATTGTAAAGGTAAACTTTAACAATAATAATAACGTTATTATTATGGTGGTAATAATGATAATAATAGCTGTTATGATCTTTGTTGATTGACTTGCTATAAAATCACATCCTTCTCACTATCTTTTTGTTCATTTCATTTATTCATTCATTCAGTTAGTAGAGTGGAGATCAGCTGACTCAGCTATATACATACATCACTTATAGGAATTGGGTTGAGTTCTGGTTTAAACTACACATTGCCTATCTTGATGAGAAATTTTTGCTGGTTTACGAGTAGGTCGAAAGGAAGTTTAGGGCGGTCAAACCAAACACACGACATCAATCCATAAAGTTATGGACTGTGTGCTCTTGGCCATGATTGATTAGTCCAAACTGTTCAGTTTAAGGTCTAAGTGACTATCGTAACCAGGTGAGACTATACTCTATGAATGACATTTGAGCGATAATAAAGTGACTTTCAGAATGTTCAACTAATCACTAAGATCAACAGAGAATTATCAATTAGTGTGAGAAATTAGGAATATGATTTATAGTTAAGAGTTAGAATTAGAGTTTCATCACGCATTGACATCAACTATAATGCCGAAATGTAATTTAGCTGAGAATTCTATCTTGTACCAAAAATATAATATTGAATAAAGCCATGGCGGCCTGCTTGAACATCTGGGCTATCTGTTTTTGTCTTTTAGATATTTCAACAAGTTATCTGTTTTAATTTATTTATTAATCCCACAACCTATTAAGGTTCGTTTATGAAAAGTTTACAACCTTTCGCTGTACAAGTTACAAAAAAGCACAATTAGAGACATCGCGGTTGCTGGCAATATGCAGCGAAAAGAATATACATTATTTAGATGTCGATTCCTGAACTGCTAACTTCTAGCTGACGCTCACTCAATATTTATCGCCAGGATCGACCAAGAAGTAAGAAACGGAAACTTGTTGAAATACTTTGTGCTGAGAACTCTACAGTGCACCAAAAATATTGAATAAAGCTAATAATAATAAATAAATAATAAAACGATAATAAATTTTGCTCCGAAATACATAGGTTGTAATCATAACACTGATATGTTCATCTATAAATTATAGTACCATCGATATTAAATTTTAAAATTATCATTTTAGTATATATGCAAACTTATTCTTTTCTTTAGAATCATAATGTTTTATCCGTAACCATTTCTACTGCCAGTGATACCGTTACTACCGCTCTACTACTTTAGATTTAATCTCGTTTCGTGCTAATCTGGTGTAACAACTTGAATCGATGCATATATGCTCCAGGTTGTACACGTTACTAATGACTGAGTGAATAAACTTCTTGACGTCAATTTAATACCAATAAAACATCCATCTCAAATAGTGGAATTCTCTTTCATAAATTAGTACTTACTTACATATATACGCCATTTATCCCTCATGGAGGAGCATAGGCCGCTCACTAACATTCTCCATCCAAATCTGTCATGGGAAATCCTTTCCAGTTGTTTCCAGTTGCTATTTATCCTTTTCATATCTGTTTCCGATTCCCGATGCGGTGTGCTCTTTGATCTTCCTCTTTTCGTTTACCTTTAGAAGTAGTAGTACATATAATAATTTTTCGATTTGGTATTATGATATTGTGAAGACTGACGAATAATCGTTGAATATCCGTACTCACGCGCACACATACAAACATAAATAAGACAATATTCATTCTACTTCTATGTTGTATTGTTTGACATTTTCTTCTTTTCCTCTGTTGTTTACACAGATCGTGGTCACCGGATTTGATCGATAAACATCATTGCGCATGCTTTCCATCAGAAAATCAAACAGATTTTGAAAGATTATCAACAATGTATGAAACACATCCACTTACACATATTCCATTAGTTGGATTCAATTCAACTTTTGAACCAGAATCTGTACAAGATTTGATGGAAGTAAGTCCACACATAATGCTTTTTTTGAAATGTTTTGAATGTACATTAGACTGTCGTTTTTGTTGAATATGTTTATGTGTACAAAAATGATTCATTCCTCTAATATCTACAGTGTGAAGTAGTGGGTAACTTAATATCTTTAAGGCGGTTGACTTTTATCCACATAGCTATAGGTTCGAACTCCATTTCAGCTACTTTTGTTTTGACTACTGGGTAGTATGACATCAGCCTTCACACCTAAAATATTGCTCATAGCCACGTACATCAACCTGTACCTGGTAAATTCGATAAATATATAATACTCATTGTGAATCCATATTGATGAGTATGTGTTCAGAAAACAATTCTTGTAGGATTTAAACGCTACTGTTGTTCATCCTGTCAACTGTCAACTTTGAATATTTAGAGAGTAGAATCCCTCAACCAACTTTTGATAAAATGTATGTGGATGTTTTCTTTACAATTTTGAAATCCAACGAAGGGATCTCTTTTTAATAAGTTTGTTGTCAAGCCCAATGTCGCGAACTGATTAAAATTAGACATGTACGCCGTGAGATGCCGGCTCAGTGGTCTATAGATTAAGCATTTTTCGCACGCCACACAGAATATTCTGAGCTTGATCCACTATATTGAGGTCGTGGATGTGCGCTGCTGAAGAGTTCCATACTTGAACGAAACGATCTTTCAGTGCTTTCTGGTTTTAACTAGTGGTCTAGCTATGACCAATTCGTGATTTATGTTGAGAATAAATTTAACCGAACAGCGAGTGGAGCTGATTACATTGGCCGTACAAAGCGCTCACTTGGTAAATGAATATCCGGGAACTAGCCTGAATGGTTATCTAAAAGGGAAAACAAATCATTCAACAGCTCAGTTGTCATATACATGATCAATTCAGGTCACTACCCACATCACAAATCTGTGTTCAAAATCTTCCACAAGTGAGAAGGACTGGTTCAAAAAAGGTTTGGATGAGGAATTTATACACAACGGAGTCTATGGCAGTTCACCATTTCGAACCCGAACTCTGTGTACATAAGAGTCGCGCTCAGTCTCTTATTCTCTTATGGTATTAGCGTTCTTTCGAATTTTGTCAATTACAATTGCTAATTATTACCTCATTCCCCTTTACTAAGTGTTCAATTACCTTCCATAGATTGTTACTTTTTATTACTTCCAAAACATTTACATAACGCGAGCCATTATTGATTGTTGATTAGTTTGTTAAATGATGCAGACGTTTCTATTCCATACTTGAAAAATTTAATTACTAAGAAATAACATCTTTCTACTTATAAATCATTACCAATATGAGGTTGTGGAGATGGCTAAGTTTTTGATTGGGATCATGAGTCAAAAACCTGAAATCCCTGGACGACCGTTTCGTCCTAATATGGGACTCCTCAATAGTGCACATCCGTGATCCCGCACGCGGGGTTCGGAACCAGAACATTCAGCCTCGCACGCATATGCTTAACCTCTAAACCACTGAGCCGATACCCAACAGTGTTAATGTCTAACTTTAATCAGTCCGTGAAATCGCGCGACCATCCTCCATTGTTTGATGTGGATACCCGTCTTCACCTGACACGGATTAGCTCCACTTGAAATATTTAAAGCTTTTTGATCATTTCGATTATAATAGTTAACACCACTTCATTCTGATGGACCTCCGCTTGATAAGTTTGATGATTGTTTATTCTTTTGTAAAACCCCTCTATTTTATTATAGACTACTACATGTAAAAAGTTACCAATAAATACGATTGTAAAGCTTCAGAAAATGATATAGTAGGAAAGGAAATTCTCTTCGCTGGAATGTCTTTGTTTTGTTAATGAATCAAACAACAAGTCTGTAAAGTTGAATTATCAATGATTATACCCACTTCATCCGACTGAAACGCCTTTCACAAATTCTAACCCTAATTACGTTGTTATTGTTGTTGTACAATTTCTTGGCACGACAATTCGTTTGATATGTAAAGCAAAACATATTGAGTTCGAGCCGTGTTATGAATGTCTACACTGGGATATATAGCTTATTCAGCTGGTTGAGTTTTAAAGAGAACGAAACATGTATCCACCGTATTTCCTTGCTAGTCCTTAATCCACTTGCATACACCAAGCCAAAGTGTATCATTATTATATCTTCTATATTCTCTCCAACTTGTTTATTTTTTATCTTTCTTTCCTCTTTTTCTCGTTTATACTTAGAAACAAATTGATTGGGAGACCATTTCACGTGGTCGTTACTCTTGGAAATCACAAGAATATCAAGATTTATGTGTACAGTTGAATGGTACATGGATAGGCAAAAGTTGTCGACCATTTTATGTACCAGATGTGTTCTTCTTTTCGTGTATCCTATTTATAGCAACATTTGTGTTAGCCTTTACAATGAAATCGATGCGAAATTCATTATTCTTTCCTACTCGTGTAAGTGAAATTTGAGAGGGATGCGTTGTGGAGAGGTGGCTACATGAAGACTTATGGGAAGACTTTTTTTTATTGTTTACGATCCCGGGTTTTTGTTGATTTCAACTAGTTTTAGTTGGGCTTTTCCTTTCATCATCTGTTTATAACATGAAATGTATTTAATTTTTAATGCAGTTCCCTAGCTTACATCATAAACTGATCTTAGCTGGACTACCAGTAAGAACTTGGCAGCACTGCACGACCATCAGACAGTGATCCAGGCAATGGATGAAGATTACCCAATATTGTAAATTGATTGAAGTTGGATATGTACACCATTGTATCCCGGTTCAGTGGTCTATAGGTTAACCGTTGTTCATACGCGAGACCAAAGATCCTAGATTCAATCCCCAGTGACGGGGTCACAGATGCGTACCGCTGATGAGCCTGATACTAGAACAAAACGGCCATTCATTGCTTCTAGGTTTTGAATGGTGGTCTAGCTAAGGTGATTTCATAAGTTGTGGGAAGTTCACTTATTTATTAATAGTTGTCAATTATATCATTAAAAGTAAGGGTTAAATTATCCAGTTGTTGACATTCAAGACCGATATTTAGTCAGTCTTTGTTGGCTCATGTGCATCCTATGAAGTTTTACTCGACATAGCCATTTTGTTACAAGCTTTGTAGAACAGATGGGTGGTAGATGACAATGGAATCCAGCCTCAGAGATATTGAGGATAACTGAAACCATTATTAATAATGTTATAAACATTACATCCCTTTGAAAACATTAACGGTTAACTAGATTCAGTAACTCAATGCATTACGCGTTAGGTGTTTAAAGCTATAGGCAGTGAATTTGACCGAGTTCCAATGTGAACATTAGTGCAACAATGCAAGTGTACCCTGCTGACTAGTCCAAAATTCATTGAAATGAATATCGCGGGTTCTACTGTTAAGCATAATCTTTTACATTCAATGTTTCTGAATGGTAAATTTGAATAAAGCAAGAACAATAAGGATAGCAGAATAAGCCGGAATTCATTTAACTTTTTTATTCCCATCCGCTGCTTAAAACAACCTATAAACAATAATAATTATTATTTATAGCCTATATACAAACTATTTTATATAATATTAGAATGAAGTTTAGTAAAATAATGACAATAAACATGAAAGTATCATAGATCGGTGAACTGTGTGAATATTTATTTCTTTACAGTTCGAATTCACGAGTCGATCTAAGCAAGACCACCACTGAAACCTGGAAACACTGGATGGCCGTTTCGTCCTAGCATGCAGTTGTCGATCCAAATCCCGTATTGGTAGAGGTAGTAAAAGTATAAGCAGTAATCGGGAAGATTAGGGTTTGGAGATGTTATTTAAAGAGTATAATCCAGTGAAATAAATTTGGAAAGAGGAAAAAGGGGACATGAAGAATTCAGAAGATTAGAATTTGAGAGAACACAAAGAGTTGATGCACCTACGCCATTGCAAGCAATTCTCAGCCATGTCACATTCAAAGCCTCTAACCATCGGTTGCTATCATCTCGCGGTCCCCAACCAGGTAGTCTACACCTACTAACATGACTCAGTCCACTTGTCAGTGACTTCATGGACTTGTGCAATGTTTTGGTCTAGCCGCCTCTAGCTTTCTTCCAACCTACTTTTACATCATAAAACATCGCACGTCGAGGCAGTCGGTGGTTGGGCATACGTAACACATGTCCAAGCCATCTCAACTGATGAAGTTTCACCACTTCATCAATTGATTTGCCATCCTTACCTAGTAGCCGTTTCCTAACAACTGCGTTACTTACTCGATGGTCCCAGGATATTCGAGCAATGTTTCGAAGACACATATGATCAAATACCAGTTACCTACGAATATCCTCTACTCTTACCGGCCATGTTTCACTGCCATAAAGTAGGACGGAACGAACTGCTGAGCTAAAGAAATTTGAGAAATACTCTCCAGAAATGCATAAAATCTTGGAAGTTGTTTATACAGCCATTATGTACCAAAAAAATAAACGGTTCCTGTCAAGTCGACCAAATGTTTCATTATTGGTACTGGCAACTTATCTAAAACAAACGAAGTTAACCCCTGATTAAATTTTTACGGTAGTTGACGATTTATTGAATCAAGGAAAATCATTGGTTTTCCCTTCCTTCTTGCATACTTCCCAATCTCATTTTAACTGAATTTTGTATTGTGTTTTAAATATTGGGATAATGAGATCTGATTTTTTCCCTTTACCTTTTTTTGTTATTAAGGTCACAAACAATTGACCTTAATATCTGTATATATTTGTGTTTAGTTAGATATGAGAATAACTTAAGCAAATCATTGATTGGTAATAGACAAGAAAATACTAATGAATTATTTACTAAATTTTATAAACTAGTTAATTGAATAGTTAAGATCAATTTAAATCTTTGGACATTTGTACAACAGTCGAGATTCTCATAATCGACAAAAGTCACTTGACTAAAAAAAGGTTAGAAAGATAAGAAAGTGAAATAGTTGGCGTCAACATCACCACTGCCTCATAAATATTTCTATATATGTTTTATAATTCTAATCTGATTAGCCAGTGTACACTGCGTCACTAAGATTCTTAACATACTAGGTTATTGTAATTTTTTCTCGTTAGATGGTTTGTAATCGATTGATAGTTTAAGCTTAAAACTTCAGTTTTGTGTTCTAGTCAGTGTATGCATTAAAATGATACGTATGTATCTGCAATCTTAGTAGAATCGGTGCTGTATATGAGAATTTACCCATTATTGTAGTTAGGGATGCTATATCACTTATGAGCTATCCGAACATCCCTTTGATTTGTATATAATTTAAATAACACTTTCTCAACGGGTTTTTTTTTGTTTGTGCTTTATTGATCAGTGGTTGGAGATAGTCGATAGGATACTCTGTGTTTTCAATACAAGTTTCGTGCTAGTTGACAATCATTACCAAGACTTACTTAAATCCTGATACGCCTCACACCTCCCCTCCAACATCATAGTCTAATAAGCAAACATTGAGTTACTATTCGGGCCATGACTGATGATCGATTGAATACTGAATAGTAACTAATATCATGTTTATCTAGTCATTAGCAAATTATATTGACCCAATTGTGATGAGACCTCTGCTAGTTTGAATGATTCGATACACTATATGCTATGTTATGATGTTAGGTGGCTGGAGGTAGCAGTATTTTGTTATAATTAACTGTTTATTCATTGTTACTTTATAATTATCCACTCTATCTATCTATCTATCCATTACTCATACACTTATTTTTGTTCTCTCTCGTGTAAATATCCATATGCTTTAGGTACGTCAATTAATATCAGATTTCTCAGTGGTAATTGCAATTGCGATCGGTACTACAACAGATTTCTTGATGAATTTACACACACCGAAGTTGTTGGTACCAACAACATTTGAACCAACATTGGGTTATAGTGTAAGATATTATTATTATTGATCGTTAACTGTTATCTTATTCTTTTGGTTATTCATGTTTTTCCTTATTCATTAGTCAATTAGTTCCCTATCATTCAGCTAAGAAAACACATCTTCAAACATTTTCTCATCTTCGTATACAAAATATTCTTCATCATTTCAGTATGAAATCAAGTTATAGGTTATAAGTAAACAGTGAAGAATTTATCAACTTCCAAAAGATGAGATATTTTTTAACATTCTATGGATGTAAAAAAATTCTAGTTGAAAGAGTCTTGTGGAAGTCAAGTTAATTTCTTTCATAGATTAATTACAGTTGAAGTATTGAACAGCTGTTTCTTTCTAACATATCATCATTTCAATAATGCAAATCTACGACTCTGCTGGGAATCACAGTCAGTGATCTATATTTTTCTGTATTATCTCGAATCAGACCAATCTTTGATGAACCAAACTTATAAATTTAAAGAAGTGGTAATATCAAATCAATAAATAAATATAGGTAAATGTGTATGTACCAAAGGGATAGTAATTTACCATTTATTAGTCAGCTACTGGGATTGAAATATAAAGTTAGTTATATTTCATCTTATGAACATTAGTAGTCAACTGAGACGACCTGAATTCTGATTATTGTTAGAATATGTGTGCATCTTGTGAAGATTGCTTCAGTATTCCTATTTTGTAAAAACAAATGCTTAAAACTGATGATTTTTGGATAGCATTGAGATCCAGAACGCTCCTTTTGTCCTATTCGGATAGACACTCATTTGTGCAATGGATATGACAACCAAAACTGATCAAATTTTAGTCAAAATATAGACAACGGGATAATCCAAATTATTAAAAATGAAGTGAAACTTTTTTTATCTATAATTGTTATTACTTTGTAGAAACGTGGCTGGTTTATACATCCGTTCGATAATAATCCATGGTGGACATCAATTGTTGCTATCGGACCATCATTCCTGGCAGTTATTTTAATTTTTATGGATCAACAAATTACAGCGGTCATTGTGAATCGACGTGAGCATAAATTGAAGGTAATCAACATTTCTTCAAAATTCATTTCATTTTTTTTGAAGAAAGACTGTCAGTTGTATTCCTCAGAGATTGGTCTTACACTAGAGTATTGTTGAAAAGCAAGAAAGACTAGACAACTTCTTCGTTCTGTTATGGAGGTTTTCATCAGTGTACACCTATAACGTCATCAGGGATTGAACCCAGTACTTTCAGGTCTCGTAGCTAGCTCCTAGCTATCGGATCACTAGGTTAATATCAAGTAATATACGACCATCCACCACAGACAATGGATAAGGGTTGGACATTATCGTGAGTTGATTGAGTCTAGACATCTACACCTCTGGGTATCCGCTCAGTGGTCTAGAAGTTAAACGTTTGAGCACGAGACCGTAGGGCTTCAGTTCGATCCCTAGTGGCAGGGTAGCGATAGAGCACTGCCAGTGGGTTTCAAATTAAGGCGAGACGACCGTCCAATGCTCCCAGGTTTTCTATAGTAGCCTACCTAGAATCAGTTTGTGGTTACAACTCTGAAAATACAGTAAAATTCATGAATCCTATATGATTTTCATAGTCATTTATACTTCATGGCATCAGAGACCGATATCATCTCCTGTCGTTGATTTTTAAGTTAGACTTTACGCATTCCATTCACATTGTGAGTCAATCAATATATAAACCAGTGTACTTTAGACTATTTTGATCATCGTCGTTGTCGTGTTTTGGGGCTAATAAATCTTCACTTATACCAGTCTTTGTGTTCTTCCTTTCTAATCGCGGGAGTTGCCGTAGTCTCCCATTCCGAGTATAAGTGATTAGCGCTTTTTCCGGCACAGCAATCAGCGACGACTAACATAACAGTAACATTATTGTTTACAAATGAATTATTGATAGGTCTTAAAGTAACCAATCGCCTGACCAATTAACTAGGTTTCTTACTAACTAAAGATATCAAACGCACACCTCTAATCAAAATTGTAATATTTTGAGGTAGATCATGATCCTCGTGTGGTACTCCTTCTCGGTGCCTATTCATTATCCTGTCAAGAATTCAATCTACCGTTTCATAGCGAAAGCTTAACCCCTAGACTACTAAAGCGGGATCCAATGGCGTATGTTTAGCTTCAAACAACTTACGATTTAGTCCAGTCATCTTTCAATGTCACTGGTGGGTAATTGACATACAAAGGGTCCTAATGGGTAGCCATGATCAGTGAAATTCAACCAAGCCAGTTAATTCATCAATGACATTAGAAGATGGTTGTACTTTATCTCAAGTTGATTGAAATCAAATCTAAGTTTTCATTTTTCACTGTCATATTGAATTAAAGGTGTTTCATTTTGTTTTGCTCAGTTGCTTTTTTGTCTCCATTAATTTTGTATAAGGAATAAATTATTTTGCCTATTGATTTCGTCCCTACCCTTTAGTAATCCCAATCAATCTATCTCACATATATATGCATATTATAGTCTCTCTTGTGTACACACACATACACTTCATTTGTTCCTTTCAAAACAACAATAATATTTACTAAACAACTTTCCACAAAGTTGTAATTTAACTTCCTACACACATTCAAACAATAAAATTACCCACCCACCCCCCGAAAAACATATCGGGAAGCTAGAAAGTAACAACAAAAAATCGATAAACAGAAATTGACTAAACTAGGTAAAAGACAAATGGACAGAGAGTAATAATAATAATATTAATAATAATAATAAGGGATATTTTCAAGAGCCCATAACACACACACACACCAACTATTCTCACCAATCCATCGTTAATATAAGTTATTATCACTTATCATCATCGTCATTTGGTGTGTACAATTATTTTGCTTTATACTAATTAACAGGAATCAATTTTATTATTGTTATTAATCCAATCGAAGCTAACTGGGATTTTTAATAAAAACTAGAGAAAAAAGCTTTGAAGTATTGTTGTCGTCATTTTCTTGGATTAACAGTACTGTAATTGACCAGTTTCTACTGCTATGTTCTCATCTCGAACGGATTACCTCAATATAACATTTGGTATATTCCTATTAGTGAAATCCCTGATATATGTGTTGTTCCGTTTTAGAATTATCAACTGGGATGTACAATGCGTTGATTTTCATACCAAAATTGAAAAATCTACTGACAGATATCTGAGCACAATAGCTTAGTGGATAACTTGTTTGATATTTGAAGCGAAAGGTACTAGGTCTGATCTTCAGTGTGATGAGCATCATTACTGCTTTGCAGGTATATTCAATGGATGAAACTCGTCCACTGGATTCCCCTGTTATCTATATATTTCATATACACTGAAACTTTAAAGAACTTCATGAAATATTAAGGGTTATTTATTTAGATAGGGAATTGAAGAAAACAGATATTTCTTAAAATGATCCAGCACCTGTGCTACCTTTGGTTTGCTGTGTTAATAAAAAATACTGAACGAATAGGGTATCTTGTAATTTTTAATTGTTGATTCTATGTCCTAATGATTACTGATAGACCAATTATTATGCCATGTTGTAACCCGCTGACAAATATCACATGCTAAGTCACCAATCAGAACCTTACCTCTAATTTGGTCTGTTATTTATTCTATAGTTTAACGTCTCTGACTTGGTCAGTTATAAGCTCAACCAACACTATTGACCCTGAGGTGGCAGTTATCCGCTAGCTTCTCTCTCTACTCACCGTTTAAGTCCAGAATTAGCAACCAGCCTTTACTATATTTATATTTCATACATACTTTGCTTATATACAAGTACACTATACTGTCGCATCGCATCACAAAATGAAAAATAACAATTGTACGTAGACAAGCCAAAAGTGGCTATGAAAATGGGAGAATGTCTGTAAGAGACTGAAAACAAATTAAAATATGGAACGTATGATAAAAGGATTACATAGACATAGTAATCTAGGTATCCGGTAATTATACAACGAAATTATAATTAAGAATAATTTGAAAAACTATTCCCAACTTTTACAATGTTCTCCCGGTTATAACACTAAATATGAATACATTCTCTATACATATGATTGTAGTAAAAAAACCCTAGAAGTTAGGGGGATTGTATAAAATAACGATGCAATTGAAGTGTCTTATATCTGACCAATTTTCATCGTTGTTTTCAGTAAAGGAAATAGATATAACAAAAGTACATCACCACAAACAGAAAGTATATTGAAAAGAATAAGATTTTCGTATTGTAAATTTTGTAAAATTAACTAATTCAAACCATACTAAATCATAATAATAATAATCAGAGAAGAGTTTTTGTGGATGTTATGGTAATTTAAAAGTTGAATTCATGAGGTGGGATCGTGGGTGTACACTTCTGAGGAGTCCCATACTATGACGAAACGGCCGTTCAGTGCTTCCAGGTTTTCCATGATGTTCTAGCTTCAATCGACTCATGAGTTCAGCTATTAAATAATAATAATAATAATATAGACACACCTGTTTTATCAATAAAAGATCGAGAAGGAAGCTTTACCGACTAAAACCGAATCGAGCAATATATATTTATTTATTCATATACATATACAGAAATATATACGTCTTTGTCTCTTAGAAATTAGAGTTACACATTCAATCGATAGTTTCTGTCTTGCTCCGTAGAAAAGGTATTCAAATATTAGCCAATAGTGTGAACTTATCATATGGTCAATGTTTGATTGTCTCGAACTATCACTTACATTTTTACTTTTCTGTGTTTATCTTTAGATTAATGATGTTTCTCTGGTGTTTGTTTATATGTGTCTGTGCATGTACACAACTGATTATATCGTCTCAGCATTCTCTCGATAGTCCGATAAACCTACTATTAATTAGATGATATTAATTATTCAAAAATATTTAAAATCCAGTCAATCACTATTCTCTGATAAACAAAAATGGCATTCTTTTTATGTTACCTTGTGTTTAACTCTCCCTCTCTCTTTCTCTCTGTTCTATTTCAGAAAGGAGCTGGTTATCATTTGGATTTACTTGTTGTCGCAGTTACTATATTAAGTAATTCAATCCTTGGAATCCCATGGTTTGTCGCAGCAACGGTCCTGTCGATTAATCATGTTTTATCATTGAAAAAAGAATCCGAAACAAATGCTCCTGGTGAACGTCCAGTTTATTTAGGCTGCAGGTAAGTCTTTACATGAATATATACGACGTGTATGTGATCATTTTTCTACATGTGAGAGACTGTTGATCAGTGGAATGTGCTTAGTAGGTGATGGCTATTTTATTTCAACATTAATTTCCTAAGAATTCTACTTCTGGGGAAGTATAACTTTTGAGACTATCATGCGAAGGATCGTTATAACCTTGTTACGCAATTATTAGACGTTCAGACTGCTGTATTTTTAGATTCTCCTATTTTTAGGCTTCCATCGAACCTATAAACGGTTATCATACGTCTCACTATTCCAGATTAATCACTAACTAATCATCCTCCTATTACCCTGGATTTGCATTACTTACGACTACGTTATGGGTGTATTGTAATCCTTTAGTTGTGTTGTTGTGTGGTAAAGCATCTCAAGCATGTTATCGTACGAGTTTTGGGTCATATTTGAATTGGAAATAATAGTAGGGAAATGATCAGCTGCTTGTCTTTGTCTTGTCACTGACCACTCACTGGATTAGACGGAGCTTGAATACCAGTAAGTAGTAACGCTTTGATTGTTGTTTATTGGTTGATGTAGCGATTGGTACTTAGACGGTAACCAATTCTATCGCCAATATAACTGAACTAATCGATAATCGAACTCGAAAGAAGGAAAGATCAAACAACTTTTTACCTGTCATTATTACAAAAAAGAATCTGTTTCGTTTTCCGAAACGACAGTGTTCTAATTTGTTAATTCTACAATTACCAAAGAACTATATCAGCGTACTAATTGTTTTTGTTGGTTAATTTTGAAAAAAAAATATGATAATTTATTGTCTAAATTGACCACCTTCAAGTAATGAATGATATTCGGAGTTACTATTTCCATTTTGATATGAACTTTCTATAAAAAATCTTTTAGACGTGAAAAACATACTCATATTTCTAAACTTTCTAGGATTCATCTCTTAAATACAGAGAGAGAGAGAGACTTAAATTATTATGTAAACAAGATAGTCTTGTTTGTCGATGGAAACTTTGACTAATAATCAGAGTTTGTTTTTGGAATACATTTCTTTAGTTGTTAATGTCAAATATTACTGAAGAACTGGTGTATGCCATAATATGCAGTTTAATTAAAATTGAATTATCATAATTAAAATTACCAATTGATCTCAGCTAGAATATTAGTGAAAACCAATAAGTAATGGACAGTTATTTTATCTCATTATGAGATTCCTCACCAGAGATCGAACCCATGACTTTCAGACCTCGAGGTGACCGTCTAACCTTCAGATTGCTGAGCTGGTATCCTATGGTTTACATTTCTTACTTAAATCGATTCAAGATGTTGCAAAATCATCTAATAACATTGGTGATATCACAAGTATGGTAATCACATTGCATTTATTTAGCAAGAATTATACCAGTTCTGATAGATTGATGGATCTGACTCAATATTTCCGCGGATACAAAATGACTGAGAATGGTTTTCATCATTTTATGCCACATGTAGTACAGGTGGGATGCCATCTGTCCATTCAATAGCGAGTATACTCTTTAGAATAGATCGCTGTCACTAAATAGCTGCAGATCAATTTAAATAAGAAAATTTAGTATTTTCTCTTTGCACGGATAGAGGGCAATAATTAGATAACACTATGACTTAATATCTTAGATACAGACTGAATCACGTTACATCTTAAGACAAAATTCACAACCAAAAGTTAAGATCCAGATAACTATCTAGACAATAACTTATTTAATACAAATGCTAGCAGTCCGTCAACACAAACAGAGCTGATTCCATAACGAAACCTGTAGTGCAAATCAATCATAAAAAAGGAGAATATACAATATTATATAGTGTCGCAACATTTAGCAAAGCTGATTGTCTGCTTTTTTTTCGCTAGTCAATCGCAAATTAATTTCGCTGATCATACATTAAAATCATGACCAATCAAGGGACAGTTATGCGGAGTTATCATTGTTTAGAATTATTTCTGATACTCCATCTTCTTTCAATCAGTTTATCCTTGATTATAGTTGGAAATGTGTGTGCACTTGTTTAACCACCTAATGGTCCTCAGTTCGATCCACACCAGTGTCGTGGGCTGTACACTGTTGTGAAGAAGTCTCACACTAGGGTGGAACAACCCTCTAGTACTCCCTGATTTCTGACAATATTCTCATTGGGGTCAAAATGTAGTGAATACCACCAACAAGTTACGGTATTAATTTGTTTACCATCTGAAGTGGTGAAAGAATGGACGAGCTTTCTACAATAAATTTGGGTCTGAGTTACTCACTTTAGACAACTTTTCTGATTGGACGAATTCCTTTAGGAAGTTGGTGAAGTAATAACCATTGACCTTAAACATAAACAAGCTGTTAATCAGTTCTGTAAGATGTTTTCAATACATGTGTAAAAGGAGGACTCATACCCAGTTTTCTATTTACTAAAATAATTAAGAATCCGATTTTATAATTGTTTTAGAATTATCACAAACTTGCCTTATTTTGACAACTATTGAAAAACCAGAAAAGCACCAGATAATTGTTACGTTATGATGTGTAATTCCTCAGTAGTGACAATTCAAATCTACAACTGCATCACAAAAGCTTGAATTCTGTACTCTTAACTGTCTAGTCCTTTCCGTTTCTCAATACTTGTCTATCTAAGATTAGTTTGTAATTATAAATTATGAAATTCAACAATCTACACAGACTCTTCTATAATATTATTATTTTGTGCAAACTCATGTTCATTCAAACGTTTTAACATATTGATTAAGATGCTTTTTTCTCCGAGAGGAGGGAGAGAGGGAGCACAAATTATGTTACTATTATCTCCTCTATATCACACACTACATAACTTTCATAGTGGTTATTATCTTTTTCTCTCGTTTTTCATCGTTTTCTTTCCTTTTAGAGAACAACGTGTCACTGGAGTATTAATTTTCCTATTTATTGGTTTATCTGTATTTATGACTCCTTTATTATCAGTAAGTCATTTAAATTACACATATATACTACCATTATTAGACACAATACTGCCTGTTAACCACAGTTAAAAATATATAAACCGTTGAATGCTAAGTCATTGGTATAAAGGTTGTAAGACCTGATAGTTGTAGATTCGATTCCTGATGGAGTTTTGGATACATAGTACCACTAAATTATCCTATATTTGAACTAAATAGTTGTCTTTTATAGTTACCTAAATAGTACTAGTTCATGATGTAAACTATAAACATCTGTACTCTTTACAAACCATCTTACACTTACGGATAAATTTATGACAATTAATTGAAAATTCAATTTAAAAGTCACCAGCTATTGGTTTGAGCACTAATGCAAATTCATTCCTTATTTGTTTTAAATTACTCATATTTTTCAAATTATTCTTTAGAGTAATCGCCTAAACTAGATTGTTTTCATCTACATAAATACACGGCTCAATCTGACCGTCAATAATTTCATAGAGTGATGATATCTTTGGGTTTGGTCATCTTTAACTGTGCCTCAACCCACCCGCATATCAGCCAAAATCAAATGTTAAAGTAGGTGGTGGTTAGGCATACGTAAGATATGTCCTGACTCCATTTAACCGAATTACCATCTTTACTCAGTCTATTCATTTAACCTCGGCTGAAAAATATTATCCAATTTAAATACTCATCCTCTCTAAATAGAGATTTATAGCAAAATATAAATGTCTTTTGGAAGCTTGTAAATCACAGTGGAACTGCCCATCACGATACCACCAAGGAGCGAACCCAAACCTTCAAATCTTGCGGTAAATACTTAACCATTGTAACTACTGAACTGAATCAGCACACAATGGTGTAGTTCCATACTTAAGCAACTTACGATTTATGTATATACATACCATTGAGTTATATTTATTGTTAAAAGAACTTTTCTCACCCTATTTTTCTTTCCTTTTCTTACTACTACCACTATTTCAGCGTATTCCAATGCCTGTACTGTATGGAATATTCTTATTCATGGGTATATCATCAATGCGTGGCATTCAAATGTTTGAACGTCTTAGTTTACTATTTATGCCGGTTAAATATCAGCCAGACTACCCTTATTTGAGGTTAGCGACAAATTGTTTTTTTTTCTTGGTAAAAATTGATTATCGTGAATGTGATATTTTTAAATTTATTGTTTATTATACTTTTGAGTTGTTTCATATCATGCTTCATTCCAGTGTCCATTTTGCTAAGAAATATGTCTTTTGAACGATTAGTCCTCGCACTTGAAGATTTATTGATCTAATGCTCACAAAAATACAACAACGTAGTTTTGATTAAGATCATGGATCGACCAATGTTAGACCACCATTAAAAACCTGAAATCACTAGACGGCCGTTCCATCCTAGTATGAGACTCCTCAACAGTGTACATCCACGATCCCGCACGTGGGACTTAAACCCAGGACGCTCGGTCTAGGGTGTTTCTTCTTATTCATCCAAAACTAGGGATGTAACAAGCACACATACAGTTAATAAGCCCGAAATAGTCTGGAACACTGACTCTGGATTCTATTACTAACCACATAATCTACTTATTCTATATAACTTTACCTATCTTGAAAAGATCAACATTATCTCTGATAAATTAATTGACCGATTAAATGATAACTGACAAACATTTAGCATGTAAAGCTTCAATTTCATTCTTTCTGTGTAGTAATGATGTTACACTATATTCTGAATATTGAAATGATAAGACATATTACTTACCGGTTCAGTTGATAATACTTACGGACTATAAAACATAACCGGTGAAGGTTGAAGATATGCTTAGTAGTATGGCTGCAAGATTGTTTGATCATAAATACCTTTAATAAAGCATTACACAAGTGTGATTAAATTATCAAAACGTACGTGCTGTGTTGTTTTGAAGTGCTCGTCAATTACAATTGATAGTCATATGTCTCAGGTCACTGTTCACCTTAACATGTTGTACTGCTCAAAATAAGAATACATTTGAAATAAAGCGAATGTTTTGAACTTAAACACGAAATCTGTCGATTTAGTTATTGTTTGAACGTGTCACGTGGCGAATTCATAGATTGATAAAATCAATCATAGTGATTATATATAGATGATATCACAAACTGATATCATTTGACCAACCATTGAAAATCAAAAAGCATCACACAGATATTTCGTCCTAGAATGGAACTACTCAGTGGCAGTGTGCATCCGTGACTAAATTCACCAAGGATATCAAGGTGTTGTGGCGAGTACTTCTTCTCCATATCAGTGAGTCAACATCCAACGGCTTATATTTTCTAATTCAATCAATTTATGATACTGGTAATTAATTAACTGGTCCACACTCGACACTACTGAACTTCACTGGTTACGCATCTCCCTCCTCTCGAAATCATTCACCAGTGGCTATATAACTTCTTGCACTTGTGCGCAGGGTAGTAGGTCCTGTCTTTGATCCCCGCATGAAGGGTCGTGGTTACGCACTGCTTAGGAGACCCATACAGTGACAAAACGACCAACCAATGCTTCCATATTTCCAATGGTTGTTTACGTTTGATCCGTCAGTTATTTCAATTAAATTTAACAAACCTTACAACCCTATACTGTCAACATATCTTTATTCGAATTGTTCACATTGATTGATTGATCTGTGAAATGTTTAGGTTCATTCTATTTTCCATTTTACTACTGCAAATACTTTTTTAGTTTTATCTCTCCATCAATACCACCTACAGAGTGTTCCTGATTTTCATTCTAAACCAGTCAGTTTACATGTGTTGCTTGTACATACGTGTACAATAATCTGACACAATAAAAAAAAGATTTTTGTCCATTGAATCTTGCATTATGTGATTTCAGTTTATGCTACTTTTTGTTTGAAGGTTTACATAGTTATACATTCACTGTTATAGTTTAAATCATTAACTGAACTTTGCTAGGCATACTACGATTGAAAATCAGGAAGTACATGATACACTTCAGAGAATTCCCATGATTTTTTTGTGGTTAGCATTTTTTTAGCAGGGTTTTCTTCCACGGAATGGTGTTGTTGACCCTATGCTCAACCCTCCTCCTCTATTCGGGCTTGGAACCAGCAGTAACCCTAAAAGAGCTACATGTGGGGTTATAGGAGTCCCATACCAGAGCAAAACCCGTATCCAGAGCTCCCTGATTTTCAATAATAACGTATCTAGCTAAGGTCAGTTCGGGATTTAAACTATGAAAAATCTAAAGTCTCTACAACCCCATACTTTACTAATATTATTTACTTGTTAACAGTTTACCGCCTAATCGATTTTAACAGTAGTATTAATAATAGTATACTCAATACCCATCGTGAAAAATTCCACTCATTGTAATTTTTACTGTTAGCAGGAGGTTTAATAATGTTCAATCCGAGCAGTCTCTGCTGAGTGACGTAAGTATACACTGGAAGAGATCTAGGATAGGTTAGTACATATAAGTGTGTATAATATCAATAAATGAAATCACTGGTTTCCGGTTTAAGCTATGAAGAAAGATAGGTGCAGTCTTCATGACTGATAACCTAAAGATATTATATGGCTTAAATTCGTCTATTATCATTCAGTTGCTTCATTTATTGTGTATATTCCCCGTAATATTGAGTTTAATATGTTATTCGCTAATCTTAAGTCGTCAAAACCATTTCTTCACTTTAAACTATTGTTATGACTTTAAGTTGGGTCGATTTTTACCCTGTGCTAATTGTTGTGTCCTTGACTGGAAAATTAGAGAGCAGCGTACTTATCGATCGATTACAGTGACACGTAAACACGAACGGACGGCCTAGAGTCTCGATTGGTCTCGCTTCCCTGTCTAGCCCAGTCAGTTGAGTCCAGAACACGAGTCACAGCCTCTGAGTTATGAATCATTATATTTCAAACATACTTTGTTTATATACCAATCAAGCATACCACATCGTACCATAAAATAGAAAACAACATTCTGTACAATATTCAACAAGTGAACAGATATCGACCAATAGAAAATGTCCATTTAAAGTCCAAGGACACCATTGGACTTAACATGATAATTATTGGTCTATTCCTCCGCATCCACAACAACTATTTTCTCTCTTTATGATTTGTAAAGGTTCAGATTATCTCTTTGTGCGCTGGTGTTTAAGTGTTTCAACATATACCAGTGCAAATTGATGTGTTCTATCTTGACTACTGACAGAATGGTATCGCATACGGAGTGTTTTTCTCCTGTAATCCTAATTGCTTAAGTAATTACCCTACTACTTGTGAATAATTTAAGTAGCATGTAATCATCCCAATAAATTGAATTAACTTAGTATCTCACATGTCTCAGCATATGAGAGCATCACTGCAACTCCTTGTATGTGCTGGGTATTTCCTTATTCATAAGTAGAATACAACAGCATCTGTCTCAAAGTTAGTTTTTTCTGTCCAGCTTGCGTCCAATGGGTTTCACTTATTATAAGTACTGCCAAGTTGTATCTTCTAATCTCCGCAGCTACTTGAATGGTCCTCCCGGTCTCTCACATTGTGAGAAAATTTCATTTACTTTTGTTAATCATTGTTCTGCTTGTCAGAAAGGGCATGGGTCTTATGATTGCCGATGAACCTCATTTTTCACCCTGAGGCGTCATAACTCTTCAAGATTAAGATCCTTCAGCTCCCAGGGCAGAATTTAAATGGTTTAAACAATTTTTATGATGAGCGTTTTTTTAGCAAGGTCCTTTTCTACAAAATGCATTTGATGACCCGACACCCGACATTCCTCCTTCATACTGGCTTGAGACCAGGTGTATCAGCTTAAACACAATTAAAATAAACTTAAATATCAGATGGGTTTTTGTGGAGATTGTAGTAATTTCAATGGTTAAGATCATGAGTCAGTTGAAGCTAGACCACCATGGAAAACCTGGAAGCACTGGACGGCTGTTTCGTCCTATTGTGGGACTCCTCAGCAGTGCGCATCCACGACCTCGCCCCCTGCGAGATTCGAACCCAGGACCTACTGGTTTCGCACGCGAGCACTTAACCACTAGACCACTGAGCCGGCATCCAATGGTGTTAGTGTCTAACTTCAACTAATCCACGAAATTGAGCGACACATCCACCATTTTCTTCAGTGAGTTACCATCTCACAACAGACCTGGTTGAACTCCACTGGTCACTACTTCTCACTAGAACTCCAGGATAATAATAAATAATCACCGTATATGGAAAGTTAAATTAACAACATGTCAGTTTTCATGTAATAATGGTAATAAATGGTAATAAATGGATCTAGTCGACGACCTCTAAATTGCTGTTTTTAAACGCAACCATTAAGTTTGTTTAAACAATAGTCGCGGGACACAGCCAGCACGCATATTTATCGGGGACGTCATCAAATGGTTACATTTATTCGGTTACACATCCCCTTCTTTCGTGTTGTATAACTAAGTAATAATTGGAGTCGAGCCTAAACGTTTTAGTTATAAAGAAGTAATCTAATACCTTTAACACGATTTTGAAGTTGCTTATTGAGTAAAATTGACAAAAAGTTATAAGTCATATACAATGCATCATTTAATAAAGCGTGATGTGTTAATTGATGTAGAAATATATTTGTATGAGGTCAAAGACTCAATACCAAACCATACAGTCACTAATATTTGCTTGAGCTCCTTAGAGAGATATATTTGTTTCCTTGTGTGGGATTCTTCGATGTGTTATAAATTAAAAGTTGAAAGCGATAATTTGTAATTCTGTGATCATCGATGATTTATTGGCCTTCTAGTGAGACGGTTAACTGACTACCACAAATGACGACCATCTCAGCTGAGACTTTAGAATATACCACACAAAGCATCGCTATCCCATTTTTATCGTATAATTAGTAGATAGCTGCATAATTCTTTTTCTATATTCCCTTTATTGTGAGCTACTGCTGAACATACTAACGATTATTAAACGTTTCATTATTCTCCAATTAATGCTAATTAATCACCTATCTTTTTCCTCCTTTCTCTCTAAATTCAGAGTAGTTATGCCTAAATTGATACTTTATATTTATGCTGATAAGCGATCAGGAAATTAATATGTTATTATATGAGTTAATTCACATAAGAAAAATACCTTTTCATTACCTGCTTACTATGTTCTGTTATTGTACTGAAGACTGGGATAGAAGAAAAGCGTACATTCTAAACCAATGCTAATTAGGATTATTTTCGGCCTTAAACTCAGGGCTAAACTTGATAATCGAAGTATATAGTTTGTCGGACCTTAGAACACTAGGCGATAGCCGAAATAGTATACCCGAGGTTTGAGAAATTATAACCAAGATTCTGATTAGCTAATCTATTTTTTAGATACTACTTACGTCTCAGTCATAACAACTCCGTGATGTACAGTCTTTTCTTATGTATTTACAAAAACGTCCCTAGTCTTTAAGATGTTTCTTTGAATGTTTTCGCACCAAAATTGTTTCTCATCTGATGCAAAGATTTAAATAAGTTTCAATTTTAAGGAAAAATGTCATCAAATTATTCAGTTAGTCAAATTTTAATTAACTAATTATTTAAAAAGTAGTTTACTTCTTCTCTTTCTTTGTATTGGCCATGACTTACTTAATTTCATATGGAATTATGATGAATTCTCGCGATATTAGCTAATCAGTCAGTCACTAGATAGAACCTAGTACGTATGTACCAATGGCTTTACGTGACGATGTCATGTTTTGATTTGGCCTCCCCCAAGCTTTCTTCCAGTCTACTCTAACACCAGACGATATCGGCCCTCGTGGTAGGTAGAGGTTGCACTCAATAATAATAGTCATTATTTTAGTAATATTCCTCATCTATAAGTAAATCGGAGATTAAAAAACACAGTTAACCCTTTACCCCCCCCCCCAGTTATTTATCTGAGAAAATAAGCAATACACCACATTATCAAATAATATAACGTAAGCAACAACAAGAAGAAAACAAGATGCATAAAATCTATTTTTGTCCACAAGTCGTAACACATCTTTTGGATTAAATTAAAATTACTTTTATCCATGAATTCCTATCTACCAACCGATTGATTTGTAGTTTAGTTTATGTATTTTTAATGATAACCATCCTTTGATTGGTTAGTCGACTACGTATGGCATATATGATGGGTAGAGCTGAAAGATGATTGGTTATTTTATGTCATTTATCTTGTATCCTTGGTTTGAACGCTTCTATTGGTTAAATGATGATTTCTAATTTTATCGGTCAACTGACTAGAGCGTTGGTGTTTTGGGATTTGTTCGGTCGACATTTTGAAGGATTGGTTTATTGAAAAAGAAATATTGTGATATTTTAATATCAACACACACCATTAAGTCACAGATCTTAGTAGACATGACACAACTTGGTCGATAGGATTCGATCATTAGCACTAAGGACTAGACAAACATGTTCTAGTTCCTAAACAATCATTATAAACAATTCAGTTCTACAGAAGAACATTCACAATGTAAATGGCTCTGTGATTATACCTCTGATAAGTGAGCATTATGTCATGTTTAAATTCCACTGGGAACATCGGTTCCTCCAAAATTACATGATACGCCTTGATGACAAGTGTCAACTAGCACGAAACTAAGATCAATACAGGGCTGCTTGTTGACCTCCTCCAACCACCTATTTGTCTCTCCTTACTAACACCTGTAAGGTACACTTAGAGAACTATCTCTCAATAGGATATCTTTATCCCAACTCATTCACTAATTTGCTGCTAAGCGGATTGTATGATTGGTTCAGCATTTTTTTCAAATTTTGATGTAATTTCTTGAAAAATCGTTATATTCCCCTAGATTATGTTGATGTTTCAGTGAATGATCGATGGAAACAAAAAAATACAAATGCATTACACCTTTCTCAGTTATTTTCCCCTTTCCTCACTTCTTTTTCTAGATTTTTACTTTTATTCTTTGCTACTATTATTCAATTACACTCCCCAGACTTAATAAAGTTAATGTTAATATATTACCGACCTATTACTTACTTTCTCTTTCATTGATGGCGTGGCGATGCGTACATTGTAATTTAATAATTATGTCGGTAAGTGGTCAGGAAATTACATTATATTACTGTGTGCATTTGAGTTGTAACATCTACTAACTATTCCGCAAATAGAGATCTTGTCTGCTTACAGTTTTCTTTAACCGGATTGAATATAAGTAAATCGAAGAGACTATGTCCCTGATCCAAAATTTGTTTAGATTATCGCGGCCACAGTTCGAGGTTAATCATTGTCATCCGAAACTTATAACTGATCAACGCATAAGACATGAGTCTATAGACGAAATAGGTATATACGGAGTAGATAACTATAAATAAATCCATATTCTAATTGTTAAATCTTATCGTATGATATTATTAAAAATTAAATCATACCACGTACATAAAACTACATCAGTTCGCTTTTTCATAACCCTCCTCTCATACGCACACATGCAGACACACATATAACAATCTGTAGGGTTATCAAAATCTCCAGTGTCTTTTTGTCAGTAGGGATCTAGTAACCCATATCATAATGCCGTTTAGGATATTAATTTATAACTAACCCTTACCAACTAATGAATGTCATTGAAAACGCTGAGTAATGTGACTTGTAATCAGTTGCGATAGTTGGAATGTATTCACGCTTTCTTTATATTCCTCTAGATCTTGAGTAATAGTATTCCTTCATACAATTCTCACTTTTTTTTCCAAACCATATTCTAAACATTTCATCTTAAGATGGTGAAAAATTTTGTTGCTCAGGTGAGGGATTTTGGTGGTTTCGTCCCCTGAGCTGAATGGTTTGTGTTTGCAGCTTTAATTGTCCCTTCGAACAAAATAATCAGCACAAAATCCATGTAGAATTGAAGCATTCAAATTTCTCTGCATATGACCAAGTGCTTATACTGTCGTCCTTGATATTGATCCGGTATTTTGTTCAGAAGAACAGTTAAAGTTCCACGAATAAACCGTCAATCTTAGAGTACAAAAACCTAAAATTATTCCCAATAACATTATTATAGTGATGATTTTAACTATCTTCTTATTCATCTCTGTGAAATTATATCACATCTAGTTAATGTACGATGAAAAAGAAGTCTTACGCACATATGTGTCAGTCTCTATGCTGCTTATAACTACCGATTAACTGACTGAAGTAATAAAAATACTTTTTGTTCTAACTTGTTTGTTTGTTTCTTCTCTTTGTATAGACATGTCTCTCTACGTCGAGTTCATTTATTCACGATAATACAAGTTGCTTGCTTAGTTATGTTATGGGTTATTAAATCAATTGAAGTACTTGCTATTCTCTTCCCTATTATGGTAAGTGTTCTTTATTTCATTGAATAATACTTTGTCTCATTGCATTATTTCCTCAAAGAAGTGTTGGGAGTAGGGCTAGAGTTAGGAGTTAGGGATAGGATTAGGACTAGGGTATCTAGTTAGAGTGAGAGATTACTTTTTCTTCACAAAACCCGGCGAAAGTATACTACAAGCACGATCAGTTAGTTTCTAGCTAATCAGAAGATAGCTTTTATAAATGAATACCTTGTTGAAAAAAATAACATTGCAAAGTGTAAACATATTTAACGCGATTAAAGTCTTCTGCAGGTTACTCTGCCTGTAAGTCTAAAAGTCAACGATATATAAACTCATCCTTACGGTTATAGCTTATGTATATTTTTGAACTCTTTAAACGACTCAAATAGATATCTAAGGGTCCCTGTATTGTTTGTAGTCAAGGTTATGATTAGGAAACTAGTCATGAACTGAAATCAATAATAATTTAAAAAATACTCTACAGCCATGTGAATGAATAAATTTCACACAAGAATCCAAGAGTGGTATCACCAGATTAAAGTTTGTTTTAGGATTATGCGATTAGGGTTAGAATTTAGTCAGTGTCGATTTACAGAGATGGAACTCAGGATTTCATTCGTTTAATACTATCATTTTTACCCCATGGTAATATACTCAGGTATTTCTATTGATCATTATAAGTGATATTTGAATTTCACCAAAAAACCTAAATGCAATTTAGATTAGTGGACACATTACTCAGCATAACTGAGGAATAGATGAACATAACATTGGTTTACTACTCCGCAGTGATCAGCCGATTATAAATGTTCCTACTTGGTGTTAGGATAAAGATGTGAAATCGGATGATACGATTGTGATTTGTCATAGGGTGACGTCTGAAACTAACAACATTGCTCAGTCCAATTGTCAATGAGTTTATGGACTAAGGCTATATCTTAGTTTTAAATAAAAATAATATATTTGTGATATCCCAATGAATAGAAAATTAGATTTTCTGACGTTTCGTGACTTATTGTAAATCACTTCTTCAGAGAATAAATAACCAAATTAATCTATTTATAACAATCAACCCAATGCTCAATTTATTCGAAATTATCAAATCAAACCTTGGTAATGATACCTATATCTTAGTTTGACTGCCCCTAGCTTTATACTAGCTTGTCGAGATAGGCTTCTGCTAGAGATACGTAAGACATTTGTCAACCACCTCGATCGATGTTTATCAATTACCACATCTACAGACTTGCCTTTTTTATCTAGTACTCTGTGTCTAACCACAATATTGCTCGTAGGCAGGTAGCAACATACGTAAGAAACGTTTCGGAAGAATCTATGATCAAACACAGATAACGTATGAAGCCATGTTTCAAAGCAGAAGTAATTAATTGCAGTTTACTTGTCATTTGATTACCAGGCAGGAAACAGTTGTTACATTTCTAGGACCCTTGGTGGCTGCTTTTTGTCTTACTATTTTTAAACCGAACATCTGCCTTACATAGTGGGATCTCGAGGAAAAGACATCCTAGCCAATACTAGTCTCAGTAGGTCGTCACGATGGCCAATCCTGACCATCACATCGAGGTAACAACTACAATCAGATTACCACTCATAGGTTGGACGTTGAATAACTAAACTAGAGACTAGTCAAAAGTTTTTTTTTCATATCCACTGAACAAATTGGTGTATTTTCGATCTGATCTACTACTTCTCTTTGTGATCCAACTTGGGGTTTGGAATTTGTTGTCCAATATTTTTCTATATTATGTCTGCTGGTCGAACGCTTGATATTGACTGCCTAACCCCTGTCTATACAATCAGATTTCTCCTATTCTTAAACCCGAACAGTAATGAAAAAGTGTGTGATAAGCATATAAGCTTTACCTAAAGATTAATTTATTGATAGAAAAGTTTATTTATAGGTTTACAAATGCCTTGACCTACCAAAAGCTTAAAGAAGTGCACTAAATTTAGTAATAAAATAAGTAACAATCCAATCAAACTGTGACATATAACCCTACATTTTTGATGTTTATCGAACTAGATGTTTTTTTAGCCTTTTCTAGGCTTCTGAACATTGTATTGAAAAATTTTTAACATGCGATTTTCAACAGTCTAGATGATTCGGGAGTCTATCAAACACTGTATCCATCAGTTGTATTATCTCTTAAACTATATATATTATATTTAATTATTCATTTTAATAGTGTTCTTTTTTTCTTTTCAACTATATACACAGGTTTTAGCCATGTGTTTCATACGTAAAGGATTAGACTTTATATTTACACAAGAAGAATTAAAATGGTTAGATCAAATTTTACCAAGTACTAAACGTAAACCATTTCCACGTTCATTAGTCACATCTGTGCCAAGTAATAATGATTTTAATAAGGTTAGTTGTTTGTATGATATTCTTAATCATTGTACTTTATCATCTATTTATCTAAGTATTATTATTATTATCATTACTGTCTTGTTTCTTTTCGGATTGTTTGTTGGTATACATGTGTGCTTGTAAGCCCATTAAAACAACTATGGTTTAAATTCTTTAATCTTAATGATAATTTTTTTTTGGATTTTTAACCATAAACATTCGATAAGAAAGTGATTGGTTTTGGTAGGACTACGATTTATGAACGACCACTGTGCCACGCCAAAGTGACTTAGAAAATTCACCTACTAACTAGAGTCTTAAGACGGTTATAAATTAGTGTAGAAAATCAGAATCGAGATTTAGAGTTAGAAGTTACGGTTAAGAAGTAAAATTATAATCTTCATTACGAACTGGAATTAATTATAATGTCAAAATGTTATTTAGTCATATAGATGAGTGAACTTCACCCCGAAATCCAAAACTCTCTATCTTAAATCTGATTGGTTTGTTCATCACTTGTAGTTTCTCCGTTGATTTAATTGTTATCGAAGTGTTTGCCAAATATGTGAACATGTACACCTTTTTTCCACTCAAATATATAAAGACGTAGCACGGTGAGAAACAAATTATCTTTGGGTGTAACCATTTGCAAACTCAAATCTAAACTAACGACAACGTAATTACTAGAGCTTATTTCCATTCAAAAGGTAATTACCGCATAAATTATTAACCTTCGTATCCATAACAACGGTCATAATCACGACTTGTACCATTTTTAAAATTATTCATATTATTAGGTGACAGGTTTAAGGACTGCAAAGTAGGACAGTGCAAAAAATCATTCACTAATGCGAGGGCGGGTATGAGTAACATATTTAAACTCCAGTTGTATTGATATTGGTCTTGATTATATACGACAGTGAAATTATCTATTTATCAACGTTCTTCTGACTGGTTTTGTCCGACTTACGCTATAAAATGGTGAGAAGCTGTAATTAGTGGAGCTCCATCAGGTGTGAGGCAGTTACCCAACGTAGAAAATAGATGGTCGCGCAATATTGTGGTTTGATTGAAGCTAAAAATCACCACTGTTGGATGACGGCGCAGTAGTCCTGAAGTTGACGATTTGCGTGCGAGACTGAAGGATCTAGATTTGATTCCAGAATGCGGGATCGTGATTACACGGTGCTGAGAAGTCATATGCTAGGACGAAACGGCATCCAGTGTTTCTAGGTTTTCATTGATGGTCTAATAATAATCGGATCATGATTTAAATAAAAATCAGTAATCTTCACAACCCTATAGTTAAAATAGTTTTACATCTACAAAAAATTATTACTGTTGTACTAATTAGTCAGATTAAACAGTTGGTAAAAGATATGGTCGGATCGACAGATCTTTGTTCATGCGATCCATTTCTATAAATTCTGCCAGCGTGCATATATGTTTAGAATTCAATGGTTCATTATTCGATCAAAATAGAATGTTAAGGTCTATCAGACATAAAAAATGATTAATTCCTAATAATACAAATATGAGAATGTCATAAAATAATCAAACAACTCTTCATTTATGTCGATTGCCAGACGAATATATTTTTCCTATTTATGTCTCTGTTTAATAACAGTGTAATTAGTTTCAAGATACTCGTCTCAACTGAATTTACTGTAAATGCCCAATCACTAACACTGTAGCTAGTTCACAATTATCAATTATAACTCCTTTCCTCATCTAAAGATTCATCAATTTGACCTAACTATTAAATATTTGAAACACTTTAATCAATGTCAAATGACGCCTTTTTACATAAATACATGTACTCACACACAAATACACATAATTCATTTAGCAAAAGAAATCCTTTACATAACTACATATTATATGTTGCGTTTCTAAGTTTGATTAAGTTTGACATATTTGATGCATTTATGTAAAGAAAAGCGAGAATATTGTCAAGAAATCTAATGTACATATTCCATCTAGCAAAGTTAGAAATGTAATTTGATTTGATAATACTACAAAACACCTTGAGATAATACAATCGGTAAGTAATGGAATAAACACACTATTCATCAGATTGGTTAATACGACTGATCAGTCGATTGATACACTAGATAATTGGACCACTTGATTAGATTAAGTGATACAGAATTACACAATTCCCCACTAATAATTGATAGTCAGATAATCTGAGATAACACTGTGTGAACTCTAGAGAACGATACAATCAGATCTCAAGTGAATCGTCAGTGAAATCAATGCTTTACATATAACAATAGTTTACATTACTAATCATAGATTTGGCATGTTTATATTCGCTCTCCGTTCAATCTTATCCTACTTTCACTGGGCAAACATCAGAATTTATGCACTTCTTTGTTGTAATCGTAACATAAACTTCACTAGTTCGCTAACAAGATGTCAAAAATACACTTCATTATCATGTTATCAATTATGGTTAATATTTACATTGTACAATACTTGATCTATATTTAATTAAATTTGATTAAAATCAGAAACACTAACTATCGAGATAATTATTCTTATTATCAATAAATGTTTATACAAGGTGATAAAAAAGCAAGAAGAATTTCGGTTAGAAGTATACTTATGAACCACTAGAATTTAAGATAGCACACCTTTGGGATTTCTGCTAGAAATTCAAAACACAATGACGAATTGCTTATATCTTGCTTAGAACAAGGTATAAAATGAGTTAATCCTACAATCATCATATAATCATCAAACCGCTTAAATTTGATAGACATGAAACAACTAAAAAATGGGGAAGAACTTTTTCAATTTTTAAGATGACAATGGGAAGGTAATTTACAATTGTTTAAACACATATACATGCGCCACACAAAATCTGAGTGTAGACCGTAATACTGTCCGGGCGTTCAAACCAAAGCAGATGGTTTTATTAGGAGGCCACTCCCCGACCCTTTGACACGAGGGTCTAGTCATTGGAGCAGCGTTGGGGGATACGATCCTATGGTGACCGGTAACAACAATAATTTTATGCACTATTTGTTCCCTCAAGACTCTAGAGCCTATGTGCAACACTAGAATCATGGATTCTCAACTCCCCTAGGTGGATTTTTCGTACTTACTAACCCGGTTTAAGCCTTCTCCCAACATTCGCTTTTTGTCTTCTCAACTCCGTTGGCAACAACGTTACCACGAGAAGACTGTGAGTAGTTCCCTGACAGCGGGCATATATGCGTGACCATATGCGAAGCGTTCGAGGGGGGAGGGGACTCTCCTTTCCCTCGGCCATACCAGGGTATTTGGGGACATGGGAAAGTGATCAATCTTTTGAAGATAGAAATAATTCCAAATATGCATGATTAAAATATCAATGATTCATGAATTTTCCGAGATAACTGATATATTTATGAGATTTGAAAAAAAAGAACTATCTACTATAACGGTTCATTAATATGAGGACCCAAAATATTCTCCCACCCTTATTTTTAACCCCTAATTCTAATCATTTTTAGGTTTGTATGTAACATGTTATTCAACCTGATTGGTCAAAAGCTATCCCTACTTTCTTAACAGGATCATTTTCCAGGTCACCAAAGGTCGTCACCATTGGATGTTATTTCAATGATGAAACTCGTTTATGTATTTTTAAGAGTTGTTTGCTATTCAGCAAACGTTTGTTTTACGGTATTTTCTTCGTGTAGCTTTAACTAGTAGATTTTTTGAGTCATGTTGGTTGTTGCTGTCTTTCACCAATCAGAATAGAAAAATTATAACCAGTTTACTACAAATGAATTGCCGAATTTTATTCAGCAGATTTTATCTGTTACAGATTGATGTATTTCGAAATACTATTGAGAACTAGGCAGAACTGAACAGTAACTGGTCCCAAGACCTTAAAGTCTCTCAGCGAACGCTTAACCATGAGAACCATCCTACTGATAACATCTGTCCGATTTCTTGGTGGTGTCGTGAAAGCACACTACTGAAGAACCCTGCACTATAATGAAATGAGGCAACTGTTCAGTCCTCCTTGGTTTTCAGTTTAATCTTGATTGAAATCAATCTGTGATTAATCCAACCTACAGATTGATTAATTCTCTAGAAAACTGTCTCCGTTACTATTAAATCCTGACATTTGGATTTCACTTTGGGCGTACGATACATGGTAATTTAAGAACGACTACGCTACTCAATATATTGTCGTGATTTCTCGTGTTGTGATAAAAACTTTAGAAACACATCGACTTTGTATTTGACCTTATTGGTGGTCATGTGACGAAAAATTGTGTTCAGGTTCAGTAGATTTACTTATTTTTTTTACTCCTGTAGCTAAAATTAGGCTAATTTCTCAATGTGATTCGGAAATCAATATGTATCTGTCCATTGAACTATTACTGACTTCTTTCCTCCATTTCTTTTCCTCTCTCATCCGCTCACTCACTGCACCATTTACATTCCTGTTTTCCAGAACACGAAATTTTCAAGTAGTGCGAATCTTTTACAAGAAAAGAAAATATCTCAATCAGAAGAAAAGGTAACTATTTCCCTTTTTAAAAAAAGAGAAATTATACTTGTCTTATTTTTAAATAGTTCATGGTTTCCTTTTGATCACGTTTAAGCGCCAATAATCTTTCTTCCTGGTTGACACTTAGCAAGGCGTACCTATAATCTTGACAGAATTGATATTCTCTGTAGGATTCGGACCCCTATGACCCAGCTTCACAGAAAGAGATTTTAACACAGCTATTCGAGCACCCAATGGCATCCTATAACACTTAGGTATTTACAGATGATTAATCACTGAACAGTGACCGATGCCATGTCTGTTTAGTCTTTTAGGGCTAACCGAACTCTATCGAATGAGTTGCAAATGTGTGTCTACTAGTCTAAATCACTCGAGATCGTACGCAGAATATTTTGGTGTTACATGGTTGAAGGTAGTTGACAGAAAACCCTGTTTGGCTTAAGCTTCATGATGGCTGACACTCACCAAAATGGTGAACATGTACTCTTGGTAGAACTGATGCTGCCCGTGGAATTCGAACCCGCATTTCCAAGTTTTGCTGCCTTAGACGTTACCACTATGGTTTTCTGGCCGTCCTGTCAAGTTTACCTCAATCTTGTAACATCTGAAAATATGACATAAAACTCCGATTCCTAGGACTTGATCGACAACACTAAGGACCAAACAAATGACAGTGGCTACTACTAATACTAACACTACTACTAAGGTGTATGCAATTTGTGTCTACAAAAGTAGTATATAACACCAGTCAGAAGTGGGATGTCTGGCAGCGAAGTTTAGGAAGATCGAGTCGTAGAGCACGGGAACAAAGAGTAATTGCTGTAGCAATTAAGCAATGATGAAGTTCGAGACAATTGATGGGGAATTTGTAAATAAAATATTGAACGTATGGTTTTCACAACTTACCAAAGAACTCGGTAATTTTTTGAAAAGTTACGCTTGATATCTACATTTATATTCCCGTTCATAACACTACTACTAACATTACTACTATTACTACACTACTCAGTAACCACTCCAATATTCATAGTTAAATATATTTGGTTTCCTGACTTTTTTTTCTTCTTAATCAACTTTTGCAGCGTATCAATATCACAGAAGAAATGTCAAAAACATCTATTTGGCGCCAGTTAAGTGGTGCGGATATAAATAATGAGTGTAAAAAGACTTCGTAAGTTTTTGCCGTTAGACTTGATTTAGTTTTATAATTGATAGTTCACTTTTAATTTGTCTAGATGTAGAGGTAAAAAGTAAATGCATATTGAATATTTCTTACCCCTATCTCTCGCTCTCCTCAACGTTTATCAGTCAGCCAACTAATCGGAATCAAAATAGGACCTGGCAATTTCAGTCAGTCATAACCAATGTAGAACCTGTTATTTATGTGCATTGATTCAAATTACCATGCTACATTAGCACAGTGAAGTGAAATTATCACGATAAATGCCAGTGAAAATAGTAACAGTATCGATGTGAGTATATTAGATTCGGCAATGATGATATGATCCGAGAAAAAATAATGAATTAGTGTGATGAAAGGTATAAAATAATTTTGAAACTCACAATTTAAGGAAAAAAAGAACAAAGCCATCTGCACGATTGTGACCGATTCTGTTCCATGTTCCCCATTGTTTCTAACAAATGGTTATGATGATCATCCGGAACCCAAACATGGTTGTGTACACCTACCTATACTCCCTAGTTCAACATTTGACAGTTTCCTTAGCTTTCTTCCGAACCAATCCTCGTACCAGCAAACATAACACATGTAATTATGTTGTGATCGGGTCTAAGTTATACATATCCCAACCACTTCAGTTGATGAATATTCACAACCTTCTCAACCGATTCTCCATGTCTACCTAGTACTCTGGATCTAACCTCAATTCTTCTCACTCAGTAGCTGCAACATTTGCAAGCAATGCTTCGGAGACATATGTGATTAAATGCTAGTGACCCACAAATATTCTCTCTTTCAAAAAGGACATATCTTACAGCTATAAATTCGGACAAATTTAATTGCCGCACACTTTTCTTAGCAAGAGACATTTCACCCACTCTACAAATAGTCCGATTTGGTAAGAGTTAAGCCAGTTTTCCAAAACCGTGTACCAAGATTTTACTGGGCTATCAACTCACAAGGGTTGGTGAAACTTCCAAGAAAAGTGAAGTTGTCAACGCACTCAACTATTTCACTCGCAAGCATAAACTATTCATCAGCTTGCTCTTCTCGATGTTTACTTACTATAATATTGATTGTTTTTATACATAAAATACGTGAATATATGTGCAGCAGGCTTAGAGGAAGTCTAGAGAGTTGTGGACAAATCATGAGTTATCGGTTGGTGATGGTTAGTAGCAGATGGTTGACAAATCTCATTATTCATCAACTAATGGTTTTACAGACAGATGATTAGATATTAACAGGTTTGGTGCTTGAGCACTCGAATTTTTAACAACTACTAATTCTCCTACAATTGAATCGCTGACGATAGATAAGAGATGGGAAGTATGGAAAGAAGCCTGACTATCAAGGTTAATTTAGTTATAGAAAGCAGTGAGATTTTGTAAGTTTGCGGATAGTGTTGATATTGTGGAGGTTTCTGAAAACATCCTTAATTTAATAATAATTTCTATGAAATTCCAATCAGTATATAACATGTTACCAATCTTCTTTCGAAGACTCTCTAGGAAGTTTCCGTTGAAAGCTGACCGAATGAAGTATTTGCATACTTTTAATTTGTAATGACTTTTCAAGGAACTCTCGATGTGTCCCAACAGATCCAGCGCTGTCCAAATAGAATATGTCCTACATATATTACTAATGACTGTGAAGCATATTCCTTGAAAGTTGAAAATATGCGTAGGTTGTGATTAACTTATCATGAATAGTGCCTTCGAACCATGGCTCGAGTGCATAGTGAACTTATTAAGTTAGTAATTGTGAGCTTGCATGTAGAGTACTAGATAAATATAATGAATCAGTTTGATAAGGCTGGAAATCATCGTGTCAGTATGACCAAACCATTTGTTACATATCAGTTATAATATACAATACTGAGCAACAGCTTTGGAATGGTTTACAGAAACATAAACAAGGATATCTAGATCACAATATGAAATTGTAAATCATTGAGTTCAGACAATATTGACAAATTTGGCCCCTGTCAACTAAAGTGTACATGATAATTTGTTATAAATGTGTTCACTATTCATTTTTATGAGAATATTGATTCAAAATGATATGTATATTCTGTATTTGAAATATCATTAGTTTTTGGTTAGTCTCTGTGCATCCTGTGAGAAAGGAAGCCTTATTGTTCTCGCCCTACAGTTGTCTGGTGAACTCTGGTTCTTAATGGTACCTCAACCAAGATCAGTCTGTTACAATCATATTTCATATGGATGCTCATTCTTCCTTCACTTATTTTATCTCATCTTTCCCTGTTAATTTCTTTTTAGTAATAAATCGAAAGATACAAAGCCTAATAGTGGGAGTTCATCAAAAACACGACATCGTAAAGCGAAACACTTTTCGTCTACATCACCGTGTGAGGATGATGAGGATGAAACACTCAGAACTGAAACGAATCATTTATCCAATAATTCTACTACGACTACTACTCCTGGTAATAATAGTAATAATAATAATTCCGACGCTAATGATCAACATGATCAATCCACATCAAATTCACCATCTGTAGCGTTCCCGACAAAACAGCAACAACCAGTTCTATTCTGCATTGATCCCAAGGATACAGTAAATAATACAAAAGGACAAACTATTAATGTTAAGGAAGATAGAAATACTGATAGTTTACCATTATTAGATACACCGAAAATTATGATAAATCCACCATCGAATCAAGGATCACCGGAAACAGCGCAAAGACGACAACAACATCGTGTACAACGCATTTAACAATCTCAGTTATAAAGTTGACGAATTAAAAAGGAGCAAGTAAAGAATAATGATAGATTTTTTTTTCTCTCTTAGAAAAAAACAGTTCCTTCTACTATTGATGGTTTTATATGAATTGCTTCCCACATTTTTTATTACAATAAAATTTCTTGTGTGTGTATTTGTGTGTTGGTTGGTCTATGTGAATGCATGTTTATGTACATGACTTCAAGAGGAAATGACAAAAGACTACTGAAATAATCTAAAACGCGCATATACATATACATACATATGTATCCGTATACTTTCAGAGTACATTTTAATCAGTCTTTCCACCTTTCCACTTCCTAAATTTATTCACTGATTATCGATATCGTATTGGTAAGGAAGAAGATTAAAGCTGAAAAAACAGAATGTATCCAATCAAAATTGTCGTAAGCAAATGCCTAACAAACCTGCATGATTTGTGTATGATTCTTCCTATTATTATTATTATTATTATTATTATTATTATTATTATTATTATTATTAGATTTTAGAATTAATGAGAGGTATTTGTATTATTATTCGAACACTTTTTGAATAAACTGAGTGTGTACGTGTATGTGTGTATGTTCGGATAAAGTCAGGAATAGAAGATTTAAAAGTGTAACTCTTATTTGTTTAGTACAGTGTTCTCCCCTTTTCTTTTGTATACATACACATATGAATCTTCTTTTATTGAAAAGCTGGTCCTTTGACCCTTTTTTTCTTAAAGAAAATACTAATACATACGTTTTTTTCAAACAGTGATTTACTTCCCTTCCGTTTCAACCCACCTCTCCATAACACAGCTGCTCTTTGCATCCTCGTTAACATCATCATCATCATTATCGTCATCGTCATCCTCAAGCTTCATAACTCCTGATCTTGATTGTTATTGTTACCATTAGTACTTTTTTTATCAGTTACATTATATTTTGTTTGAATAACAATTTCATATTTGTTATTGTCATGGATAAACACATTTTCTTATACGAAAATTGCTAGAATACAATACATATATGATCATTAGATACGTCCACCCATGTTCTTTCCTACCTCCCTCCCTCTGCGCCTCTTTTTTTTTAAAAAAAAATAATCTAATACACCTTTACATTACATGATTATGTCTACTTTTTTCACCACTGATTAATTAATACTTAAAAAGTTGAATCTTTCTCTATTCTCTATTGTTGTTCTGATTTGTTATTTGACCGTTTCTATACACTCTCCATTGTTTACATACATACACACACACACACATAAACCAATGATAAAATATCATTTCTAGTCAATGAGAATGTTAGGTTTCTACATTGTAGTAATTTATTTACTATAATTACCATTATTATTATTAGTAATAGTAGTAGTAGTACTGTTAGTGGTAGTAATAGTAGTAATAATAATAATAATAACAATTGTACTTCACATTGAATCAGTTGGTTCACTTTCAGGAATCATTCTATGCCTCTACATTGTTTTGTTATTGTTGTTACATTACTCTTAGAAACAGACAGTGTTGGTAAAAATTCATTTTTGATTTTGGGAACATATATATATATATATACATTTCATATAATGTACACATTTTAATGGTACTCTCTATTCATTTAAATGAATAAATAAAAAAATACCTGTGTACAACGAATTGCAGTAGATTTGAAAGACAATAATGCGCGAAAAAATAAATGAATTTTGAAGATACAAATAGATATGTAACATGATTAGACATACTACTAATACTAATGATTATTATGATTAATTGTAGTCATAGTAATGAAAATATCATTATTTTTAGTCTTCTTACTGATTATTAGATGTCAAAATTATATGATTAATCTACTATACTTCCATAGATTCATTGTATATCTATACACAGACAAACACATATACAGTCTAATATCTCAGTATCTTCTTATCTTTTCTCTTTTCTGCCGATGTTTTGGTGATGGCAGCGATGGGATTGACGATAACAATAATGATGATTATGTTTGCAATTATTTTTTTTCCTAATTCCCTCTAACTTGCTCTTCTATTCGTTTTCCTTTGAAGCGCCATAGAGATAGTAAGGTGCCAAGATGGGATAATAAGGGTGAGTATGTGTATTTGTGAGAGATAATGGACGATAAAAAGCAGATCACAAAGTAGATGTAATTTGATATATGTAACTGTAGGGTAAGAAAACCGTTGCTTATTATTACCATGATCAGTTTGTATACCTAACTAACTCCTAGTCAATCGGGTACCATAAAAAACAGTAGTAGTAGTAGTAATAGTAGTAACGATAGTCACAATAGTCATATTAATCTCATCATTTTTACTAGATTGATAAGAGAGAGGAAAACTATCATTATCCCTCCACTTGACCCCATCCATATGAAATTTCCTTATTTTTCTGTGAAGAAATAATTTCATTTACTTATGTTTGTGTCTCTTCAGCAAAACTATGTTTACTACTACTGAGGAATAATGTACTGATGAAGCTTACTTTCCCTCTTTCCCATATACAAATAATCCCTAACTTCCCCTACTCTATCCTCTTCCAATCTAGTAAATACCTTTACTTACTACAAGCAAGAGTTTTTTTTCTCTCAATTAGTTATATTTTCTTGTATCTATGCCTACGTACACATGTACGACTGGAGATGCATTACTCAATTGTTACACTAGAGCATTTAGCAAAAAATCGACCAACTTTGCTTCGTTTGTACTATTGATTCCCCTCATTTTTTTTTGAAAATAAAATTGTTAGTTACAGAAAAAATAGAATAGTAGGTTATCCTGTTTAAACTAGTTTTCATTTCCTCTTCCCATTACGTTTTCCTTCGTACTCTCATTCACTGATTTTTTTTTCCTGGTGCCTAATTCCTCTCTCTTACATATATATATATATACACAGTGCCATTCTTCTCTTTTATTCACTCCTTATAATCCATCCTTCATATGTCTTTTTAAACTGATAATGACACATGGGCAAATGCTCTTGATTCATATGAAAAAAGAAACAAACTGAAGATGGCATCATTCTCTTTGTTTACTTGCTCCAGCTAGTGTTTACCTTTAACATTATTATTATTATTATTATTATTATTATTATTATTACTATTATTTATTGTTATTACTTTGTCTCCTGGTTCTACCGTCATTCTGTTTGTTCGTTCATGAGATATCCTTTCTTATGTCAGAACCATTTCCTACCTGTTTTGCTTACAAACTATTTTTCGACTCTCTGTCTATCTACTAGCCAGCTGCCTGTTTACCCATCAAATTTATCGATCTATTTGTCTCTATTTAATAACTATCCTTGTTATTTGAGTTATTTTTATTCAAACTTAGCAGAACCTATCCAATATTAGAATTTTACAAATCATATTATAATTTCTATGAAAAGTGATAAGTATTATTACTAATATGATTTACTCAAATATTGTTATTATTGTTATGACTATTATTATTATTACTATTACTGATATTACTATTTTTACTATTGTTTCTATTGATACAATAACGAATCACTCATCATCAACATATACAACTTAATAAAGATGACATCGACAAATCATACGTAGTATACATTACTGTTACTAAACTATTTATAATAATAATAGTAACAATTCATACAGTCTTTTGTAGTCGTACTGCTCCTGCTTCTGTCAATAGTAGAGTATCCAACTGTCTGTCCGTCTGTCTGTCTATCTTTCATGTGGTGATATTAATGATTCATCAAGTGGTAAGGTTAATCATATACACAGTGATTAACCTGGAGAAAAATTTCCAAAGTTCTAGTGAGAAAGAAACTCTACACTGAAAAGCCAGAAGTTCTAGGGCTCAATCTATGGTCAGGTGTTAGGAGGTAGTCCACAGGAAACCCTGAACCTAGATCCGTGCTATTTATCACTTCTCAGCAACGTGCGCATTTAGTCTTGGAGAGATAGGTAATCCTTGGTAGATTCAATACTGTGTCAATTCATTTTATAGTCAGAGACCTTATCACTGAGTTATTCGTGCCGCGACTTATCTTTTGAACTAGGATTTATTTACTATTGATTGATCAATAAGTAGTGGCTAATATCATGTCTGTTAAGTCCTTAGTATTGACGAAATCCTATTGATCAAGTTACAGCGTGACCACTACTAGTCCAAGCAATTGAACATCGCGTACACTATGTTAGGTGATAAGAGGTAATCAACAGCAATTCGATTAGCTCTAGGAAAGACTCAACATACATGCGATTGTCCACAATTCAATGGTCAATCGGTTAAAAATTATCGGTCCGTACAACAGTGGAGGAGTCCAACACTCGGATGAATATAACTATCCAATCCTCCTTGAATTTCAATTTAAGACAACAGTTATTGAATTTTTCCCCGAAATTTAAAATTACTGTGGACATATTTGTATTTTCACTATTAAAGTCAACCTAATGGTTCAATAAACTGTCTTCTAAATGAAAATCTCTTCATATCTTTCAATACTAAAAATCATTAGCGTTCATTGTAATATAATGTAGATTTAGTATATTTTAAAATCTGTTATAATTTTCATGTAGTTCAAGACTCATCTGGGACTTGATAGCGTTATTTGTTTAAAAATAAATATCTGGTGTTGAATTGTCTGAGATACATTTTACTAAGAGATTCTTCGAAAACCTCTATCTAGTGCAGTGCTTTACAGCTGATCTAATACAGTCTAAACGGTAAGAAATTTGAGAAAAAGGTTATCTGTAATCTACGTAGCTGAGTAGGATAGCAAATTATATCATATTTTAGAAACAGTAATGTTTTCTGTGGTTTAATTCGGTTACGACGTATGCATTGTAAGGTATCACTGACCCATTATGCAAAACGGAAGACTGAAGTTAATAGGAACGTTTAATCACTAAATCGAATAATAGTCAACACATATCATCGTTTTTCCAGCCCACCCAAGAATAAATAGTTCGAGACCTTGGGTAGGTGGATAATCGACATCCGTCAACAATGTGTCTCGTTTTTGATCTTTCATCCACCGCTTGATCTTGAGATCGTGGAGATGTAATCCCTTATGTGCCTATACGCTCATCATCGATAAACTGGAACGATCTGATTCAGATGTCAAGGTGCAAATTGGAAAAGCAATGACAGTATTCTTCCAAATGAACAGTATCTGAAACACAAAACAATTGTCCCACAACACCGAAGTCAGAATTTTCAACACCCATGTTAAAACAGTTCTATTGTGTGGAGATGAAACATGAGCAACTACCTTAAACATCACCACGGTAACATAGATATGTCGGCCAAATACCGACATTAGTAACCTACTTTAGTATAGAGAAGACCAGCTGTCAGTTGAGGAGGAACTAAGCAAAAGACATTAGAGGTGAATAAAGCACTTTTGACAGAAACCATTAAACTTGAGTACAAGGCGAATTCTAGCTTCAGTTTCTCAAGGGTAAAGGAAAAGATCCAGAAGAAAAAACACATGCATCTGGGGATTGAAGACAGACAGCCTATCCCATAAGAGGAGTAGAAAACGGGATTAAGTAAGTACGTTTGACGACACTTTTTCATTAAATTTCATCATTAGTTGGTCATTTTGGTACTTTCATTGTTTGTACCTCTAGTGTTGCGTCAAATATTCAGATTACTTCTGAATATCGATCATAAAGCATTTAAAGCATCAAAGTATACTTGATTACATAGTTACAGTGTATAATTTGAAATTACCCTGACCCATAATAAATCTAGGGTATTATTTAAACTACAAATGATCTCGAAATATACTATTACTGTTGTTGTTGTTGTTGTTAATTATGATGTGAGTTCCTTTCCCAAGACCAAATCATTTTTTCAAAGTTTCTGTTACGTATCGTGAATTCCTTAGAAGCTGGGAAAAAAAACTTAAAAACACTTTATCCAGTCATTGTTAAATAGAAAGTCCTATAAATCTCTTTGTTTTCTGTACTCGAAACAAAAAACTTTTGTTCTAACTCTTGCGTGTTTTTATCTTCTGTTCTGGAGACATAAATTAAAGATTTCCGGTTAACTAGATAATATTTAGAAGTCAGGATCCATGTATTAGATGGTGGTTGGAGGTAGTCGACAGGAAACCCTGGAACCGGGTTTCGTGCTACTTGGCACTCGTCAGCAAGGTGTACCTGTAATCTTGAGGGAACTGGTGCTCCCTGGTGGATTCGATCTCGTGTCACCCAGCTTCACAGTCAGAGACGTTACGACTGAGCTATCCGAGCCGCGACCGACATCCTATAGGACTGGTGGCCACATTGCGACATGATCGATAGCATTCGATCTGCACTAATAAGGACTAGACACGCATGACATTGATCGCCACCAAGTGATCAATCAATTGTGAGTATCCATGTATCTTTATGTTTAATGTAATTCTATGGGAGTTTTTCTTTTTCAGAAATAGGATAATTAGATTTTTCTGAATGTATTATTATTTCTGTCATGCAATACAATATAGTTTTACTAAACATTACAAACTCTATATCATTCTACCATCGAAACAAGAAATCAATATTTCATGCTGACATCAATTGGATTTGTTGTATATTATATAAATTTGTCCTTGAATTGTTAAAAAAACATTGAAAAAGTAACGGAATATTTATATTTGCATTGTCATTTTTGATTGGATAAGAAACAATTTTGAAGAAAGTTATTTCCATTTATTTTCAACTGTTCAGATAGCTCAGTGTTAACGTCTCTAACTGTGAAGTAGAGTGACACGGGATCGAATCCTCCAGGGAGCACCAGTTCCCTCAAGATTACAGGTACACTTTGCTGACGAGTGCTAAGTTGCACGAAACCCGGTTCCAGGGTGTCCTGTCGACTACCTCGAACCACCATCTAGTCTCAATACATAGTGCACACAGTGTCGAGTCACCTATACTTGTGGCCACATTGCAACTTGGTCGATAGCATTCGATCTGCACTAAATAAGGACTTGACACACATGACATTGATCCACCACCCTGTATAAATTTGTCCTTGAATTGTTAAAAAACATTGAAAAAGTAACGGTATATTTATATTTGCATTGTCATTTTTGATTGGATAAGAAACAATTTTGAAGAAACAAAAAAATGGTGGTGGTGGATATGAAAGTTATTTTCATCTATTTTCAAGTGTAAAAAATTAAGCATAAAATAATGGTGAATAATTTTTTTCTTAAAAAAAAAATAGTTTAGATATACCATATATTAAATCAATTTAATGTACTTTTAGTACATTTGTATGAAAACTATCGATAATCTTTTAGTGGGACTATAATTTATGGAGGACTTTTGAGAGACACCTTAGTGACCTTGAGAATATCCACTTACTTACTAAGGTTATAAAACAGTTTGAAGAATAACGATTATGATTTATAGTAGTTGACGGTTAGAGATTATAAATTAGATTTATGGTTTTCATTATGAACTGATGACATTAGATACAATGCCAAAACTCTATTTAAACAAATAGATGAATGAATTTTGCATCAAAATTCGAGACTTGTTATCTTAAATCTGACTGATTTGTCCATGAATTATAGTCGCACCGATAATTTCATCTTGGAAATGAGCTGTCATAACGAATGACTGTAGGATGTGACCTTGAGATATATATTTTACCGTCAAGCCAGTAAACATTTACTCAGTAGAATTCGAGCAAATTTAGAGTGAAATTGACTGAGGATGAACTCGATGTTGTTAAGTTATCTAAGTATATCGTAGTCAGTTATTACAGTTATATTTTCGTTTATTCAATCACTCAATTGAATATATTTTAAAATAATTTCTATGACTAGTAGCTGCATATGATCTTTTTCTTGTGCCTCTTTTCCATAGTAAAATCATTAATATCGTATATCCTTACAGAAGAATACTACTCTTTGTAACAAAGAGACTTTGAAAGTACATTAAAATTGTTGTCCAACTTTTCCTTGTTGTAAATAGTACTTAATGTACTGTTGGTTAACAGTGAAAAATCAATATCTTTCATTAGGTAAATATCGATTTTACACTTCTATTGAGGACTATATATCTTATTGTTGGTCATTTTAATTTTTCATATTCATAATTAGATATTAATAGGCTTTCTGTTCCACTACATGTTATAGCCCAAGGTCGTCAATCAGAAGCAGCGAATTATCGATCGGACTAAAGGACGCGTAAATCACGTGCGAGCAGTCTACAGTACTGATTGGTCCTGCTTTCCGCCTAGCCCTGCCAGTTAAGTCCAGAACACCAATCTCAGCCTCTGCAATTTGAATCTTTATATTCCAAACTTAGTTTATATACCAATCTAACACACCACAACGGAGCATAAAATATAAAATAACATTTGTACAAAATTTGGCCAAATGTGGCTGTGAATTTGGGAGGCAGTGACTAATAGACAGGGCATAATTCAAGAATGGCAAAACGTATAATAATGCTTCTAGGTTAAAATAAAGTTTATAATAAAAGGAATATGAATAGTTTAGTTATTTAACAATTATACGATAAAAATATACGTTTAGTATTGGTTCATAAAAGGATCCCAAAGTTACTATTCATTATGTTTATCGGGACCTAACACTACTTCAGATTTCTTTATTTTCCAATTTTTTTCATTCACGATTGAACAATCTACCCTATTAGTAATACAATTCAATAT